TAGCTTAGTATTATTTCCCTAATAAGAATATTAAAAGTTATGCTATGACCACCCTGGACAATGTGCATATATATGAGAGCTGTCATGTGGTAGAACTGTGAACAGCACCCTATAAACTATGGCAACAGCTCTACCTAAAGAAAACTGTGGATTGGCTGCCCCTTTCTACCCATTAACCTTGGGTGCCTGGACTTTGATTTATTTTGCAGAATATGTAGGGTGTAGTGTTATCACAGATACCCAATCACAGCTGTGCAATTAATGCTATGTAAAACAGACCTCAGTTTGGATTTACATCAATGATCTCAATAATGTTGCATATAGTTTAGCTTTTCTGAGAATTGACGTCTGTCTGAGGGTTCCTGCCCTCTCTGGTTATTCAGTTCCTACAAACAAGAGAAAAATGACTGTCTTTCCTCCTAAAAGCACCTTGCCATTTTCCAGGGCATCCTTCCTCATGTCATCAGTGTTGCAGAGTCCTAGGTTGCAGAATCAGCCAGCACAGAATAAACTGAGAGGAGGGGAGCAAGAGGGAAAGCTCTGCAAAAGCTAGGGAGCCTTTCTGCCTCAGGAGAAAAAAGAATGTCAGAGGAGCTGGTGTTTTAGAATCAGAGGGCCTGGATTTGAATCCAAGTTCCACCTCTTAATGACTGTGTGACCTTGGAAAAGTCTCATCTCCCTGGAATGCAGTTTCCTCATTTATGATATGGGAGTAAGAATAACTCATGCTTAGTAGAGGTTCATTTTGAGGATCAAGTTAGATACTAAACAGGGAAGTGCTTGGCAGGCTATAGAACATGACAGTGCCTCAGCAAACATGCCCATAGCTCAGCAGAAGATGCGGAGGACAGAGAGCCACGGGAAGAAGGCTTTACCTCTGCACAGTCTGCAGGGGAGAGAAAGCAGCCAAATGCACGTAAGATATAGAAGGCGTTTGCCGGGGTTCCCCTAAGCACGGGCTGTGGGAGCACAGTGGTGTCGCTATTGTCCTTCCTGCCAGCACCTTAACCTGTTGTTGGATCTAAGCCAGGATAGGAAATAGAATTACCACTGTGGCCCCAGTGGGAGTTAGAGAAGTTTAGGGAAAGCTCAGCTTAGACCCAGCTAGAGGCATTAATAATGGACAAAGGGCCTCAGCCAGCAGCAGGTTTGACTTAAAGCATCCCAGCAGAAGAATCCAGAGCCAAAGCCACATTTTACATTTGATCAGTCCTAAAGTGATGGGGCTCAGTGCAGAGGGCTCGGGAGAGTTGTTCTCAGAAGGGGCAGGAAGGACTGCAAAGAGCCTGAGTTTACAGCTTCAAAGTCTTGCTGGGCAGAGCTCTAAGCAAAGAGC